ACTTTTTTAAATCATTTTCTTATTATTTATTACCTAATTTTAATTAACTTCTAAAAAGATGGAGGTTCTCAATTCGACTGTATTTTTTGTGTGTATGTTACGCGATTTGTGAACCGATTTTGATGATTCTTTTTTTTTTGTTGGAAAGAGGGTACCTCAGTATTGATCCCATTTTAATTTAAAGAAAATATTCCACCTATAAGGGTGGCAACCTAGGGGATGTCGGTTTCAAAGTCGGTTGTTTTTCAATAAAAAAGTAATAATTATATGTACACGGAATTAACATAATATAAAAGATAGTGTTTGAGTAAAATCTATATGTATATAGTAATGTCGATGTAACATATTGTCGGAGTAGCGGAATGTCTTAGTAAAATCATGTCAATGTAACGTATTGTAGGCGTAACGTGTCGAAGTTCAATTTTAGATTTAGGATTAGGGGTAAATTAAACGAAATAATTTACCCCTAATCTTAATACAATTACTAAACTAGAATTAGGCATGTGAATGGAAGGTATTGGTCGCAACGACGAGGTTCTTTGTTATCGCGGCTAGCACCACACAAAATACTTCATACCCTAGTGTCCTTGTTTATGGGAATAGTTTTTTTAATTTAATTTTTTTGTCGGTATTTTTGTTTCGTAATTATTTAATTATGTGTTACGTCTGAATGTCTTGTGTTTTGTTTTTCTTCTGTTTTCTTTCTTTTTTTTCTTTTATGATGTCATTAAAAACCAGATTAGTTCTTCCTTTTTATGGCTGTGCTGTTACGTTGAGCAAGGTTCAACCCCTGGGGTCTTCCAGTCGGTCCGTTCAGTTCAAATATATTAGTACGCAAACATCTTTGACACAGGGAGACCGATGTGAAAGCAAATCACAATAAATAGAATAAAATTTTTCCATTCTCAATATTTCCTCAAAACCTTATCTATATTGATGGCGTTCCACTTCTAGTGTCAATGTTACTAATCCAGACAAAAGGACTTTCAATGCCTCTAATTTGTAATAAAAACTATTATTCAGGGGAAGAACGTTTTTACCTTATTTAAGCTTTACAGAATTCTACGAGTTTGGCCTCATTTAATTCAGTGTACCTCAATCTAGGTTTGTAGATTTCGATAACACATAAATGGTTTTATGGTACGAGAGAAATTACGACACAAAATTCGGTGAAATGGCGTTCTCGTTTCTACAAATCTATAATGAGTATCGAAAAAATTAAAACGTATGAACCTAGCCAATACTCCATCACATCAATGTCATGTTTTAAAAATATTATTCAAATATATGAAGTGGTTAAGTTGTGTAAAAAAGTTTCACTTTTTATATGGCGAAAGATGGTATGCTCTTAAAAATCTTTTTTAGTTGACTTCAAAAAAAGGAGGAGGTTCTAAATTCGAGTGTATTTTGTGTGTGTATATGTTACGCCATTACTCCGATATTTGTGAACCGATTTCGATGATTCTTTTTTATTGGAAAGGGGGTACTTCAGTAGTGATCCTATTCAAATTCAAAGAAAATGGTCCACCTCTAAGGGTGATAAAGTAGGGGTTGAATACGGTTTATTGTATTTCATTCACTTTCCATTAGTTGACTTTATTATTACTTGGTAAATAGATAGAAGATTCCAGAAACATTTAAAGTCCGTTTCTTTTAATAAAGTTATAATTATTTCATTCATTACATTACATTATTAATAACAGGTAACCTAATTTCCAGAATTGTTATACATTTTGGTCGCCATTACATACGCAGTTTTGTTGTATAAAGTAGTCTTACGTGATTCGGTACATAGCTTATCACAATTACGTGCGTAACGATTTTATACGTTTTGGATTCCATTTGATGTAAATCTAACGTTCATAAATATTTAGTCCGGGTACGTGAACAAATTAAGTTCCTTAGGGTATGGTTTGCAGCAGACCATTCGCCTCAAATTACACATAGCCTTGTGACGGTGTGACCTCCTTACACCGTCATCCCACCTTTTTGTATCGCCTCCATATCGCCTCTGTCCATTCGTATCGTATCGTTTTTCTTCTTCTATTCATATTTAAATTTAAAATTTTGAATTGTTCCATTTTCCTTCGCATTCTGATCTTATTTCTTTTCACGGCCACTCCCTGCTTGTCCGCGGTAGCGGATACTACTAAATCAAATTGTCTAATTTTTTATTCTTTTCAAGTTTAATCATAATACACTCAATGTAAATAATGTATCGACCATAATAAGCGAATAACAGTCCATCTGTTATTCAATATTACACAACCCGATAAGGGTTTTTTTCTTTACTTTACTTTTTACTTCACGTTAAATAAATTTGTGTACCGGAAGTTTCCTGTTTTACTGCCGTGATTCTGATCACGGTTGTTAGGGTTACAACCCTTTCAGCCTAATACCCTGTTTTGAGTACGGAGTACGTAACCAATTCCTGATGCATTTTCCAAAAATATTATTCACGTATTACACGCATTACCGTATAGGCATACGGTAATGCCTATAAGTAAGCTTGTAGAATCACTTCTATTTCAAGCAGGTTCAGCCTAAATAGAGAGTACAATCGTTTATTTTATTTTATGATATCAAGTGACGGGATGAACAAGACGTGGGCCTGATAGTAAGCGACACGCCTGTCCCTAACAGTCGGAGCTTTAAATCACAAAGATCAGAGGAGCTCTGCCACTGCGCCCGCTACCCTGAGACATGAGTTGACAAATACCATGCACTTGTAATTTCACCAGCACATTTACCCTTTAAAACCGAAACGCAGTAAAAAAAAAAGTCGCTCATATTACTGCTTGGTGGCAGAAATAGGTAAGGATGCAGTACTTTACTGGACGAACTCTTTCTACTACAAAAAACTGTTTACTTAGTGTTAAACCATCTGTTCGTTCTGACGATTACCAGCGAATTTCCTATGTACGTACACGTAAGCCCAAAAACTTTACGAACATTCGTTTCATCGATTTATTTACCGAGAAAATCATTGAGTTCAATTTTAGTTGTTTTGATTTGAACCTCATGATTTTAATTTTATCAGTACCAGTTTTAGCCAATTCTCAATATACAGATGTCAAATTGATTATTGACTAATACATATTACTGTACAGCTGTCTGCAAATAACACCATAAGATGTGCAATTGACATTGAACAGTCGTTGGTATTAAGAATACTAATGGTCCCAGAATATTGCCTTGGGGCACTCTTAAGTAACATTTTTAGTCTTGTAAAATTCAGTGTCTGTCTCGGTATTGTTCGTATTGAATGAGCCTTTGGCTTAAATATGACTCTAAACGATTATGATTTATTACCTCTCACATTAGACGTGTTCAATTTACATAATAACTATAAAATATTGTGAAAAATAAAAAACTATCAGTTTTTAAAGTTAAGTTGATTTTAAACTATAATGTAAATTGAACCTCTATAAAGTAGTCTGCAATAAGCGCCATGTTTTGTAAACTATAACTTCACTATTGTTGTTTAAAAGAAAGCGGTGTCGTTAGTTTTCCCTGCACATTGTATCGACAGTGTAAAAGTTAGAAAAAATATTACAGACATATTTATCTACGTATAAGAGTTTATTGACGTCATCGGTAGCGCAACGGTTTGCACTGTGGGCACTGAATGTAGAGACCGGGTTCGATCGCCAGTAGGACCAATTTAGGAAAATAACTTATTTAAATGCTAAATTCATATACAAGGAATTCTCTAGTTTGAGACCAGGTAATTGCTGTGATTGTCTGGAAAATTATTATTATTTGTTATTAGTATTTGTAATGTTAAAGATACAATCAATATCTAATCCACTAAATAAATATCACGTTAACTTTTGACGATTGCGGAAAACAGTGTCCGTAGGCGGTGGCAACTTTTTTCTATTTTATCAGATGGGCCGTTTGTCTCTATACCGATAACATTACTAGACAAATTAATATTCTAATCCACTAAATAAATATTACATCACCTGTTGACGATTGTGGAAAACAATGACCATAGGGGTGGCAACTTCTTCCTATTTTATCAGATGGGCAGTTTGTCTCTATGCTGATATGTATGCCGTAAAAAAAACAGTTGTTTGATTTTGTTTTCTTAGAAATTGTCTTTAATAAACCCATGGTCTTTTTTTTTCATTTTTAGTATTTGCTTGTTTAAATTACTTTCAAATAAAAGTAGATACAAGTATTTTTAAAGAATATTGGCGTTGATGAAAACTTCTCACATTCTGATCTGACTTAAGGACGATATAACATACCTAGCTCTAGTTAAATTCGATAACAACCATTATTCCGAAGTCTATTGAGGTTATCAAATAAACCAGCGCAGTCAGGTGTCCATTGAAGCAATTGCATTATAATGCAGTCGGGGCCTAGTTGGAAACTAGCTTCGAGTTAACATCGTTCTAGGCAGATCGGGTCGAGGCTGCCTAGAGTACGACGAATCGATGAAACGTATAACAGCACCTATTTGTATTAAGTATTTTTTTTAAACATCGGTTATAGTAAAAACAAGTTATTACAACTTTACAACGACCATATTTAACCGTGTAAAGAAAAAAAATCGAAATTGCGCATATTTACCAAACAATCACATTCATTTTAAACAATTTACGTTATGCTATTAACCATAACTTGAAAACTTTTTCAGTACTTTCAATGACGTCTTATGCCCTTTAAATTAATTTCCTAAAGATAAACTTAATTACGCAACGCAAAGAAAATAAAAAGTTTCAGAGAAATGACATCAAAAAATATGTAAATAGAACATTATGTAAAAGTATTAGCTGTATAGTATAGCAGCTTGTATTCAGAGTTACTTAAGCTCGTCAGTTTTAAATAGGTACGGAACAATTTAAGTTCTAGATGAGTTCCTTATGTCACTCACCAGACTCCGTGTATATAAGCCTGTTTTCCCGCCGGGAAACGCACATTGTTTACACTACGCGACATGCTGGTAGTCACGCCGACAGCTAGTGAAACTATGAAAAAAAAGCAGTTACCTAGTACGACGCGCTGCCCATTGTTCTCTCTAATTGCCGCTCGGAGGCTGCAGCTCTTTGATGGCTCAGAGACTCCACACTCACTGGCTCGGCGACACTAAGCTTACGTCTTTCCCAGTCAGCGGTTGGGACGCGACTGCGGCCCGCCCTGTTTCGCGCTTATTCCCCTCTAATGAAATCAACCGCCAATTTCTCATCCCCGATTGATGTTTTTCGCGTTTTCCCAGATTTTTTCCAATGCTTTATGAATATAATGTTAAGATTCTAAAGTACAGCAGATACTTATCTTCGTGTACTTTAAATTTATTCTCCCAACATGGTTTTCTCTTAAACGTATTAATTGACCTTGTATTTGGTTGGTAAACTTTTTGCTTTAAAGTAATAAAGCAGGGCATACATTTAAACCACTTCATGAATAATAAGCATATATTACATACGAGTACTTAAGTAAAATAAATTTACATTATTATGCCTTGGTTTACAAAATAATGTAAAACATATAGAAAGTATTCTAATGTAAAAATTAGTCATCACAAATCATAACAACTGCACTCTTCGTTTCTTTCTTAAAAATTGGATGCACAAAGGGCGTAATGCAAGATGGATTAGCAGAGTAATTTGACGCCATTATGAGGCCATAGATAAGTCCGCCTGGTCGAGTCTTGGTACTCAAGAATTTGATGCAACGCCATAGACTCGGTAAGTACAAGAACTGTAATTTATTTTAATATAATTTACACGTCTTTCATTACTTATTTATTACAGGATTATAATATGCTACAACGATTTAAGCACAATCTAAAATGTTAAAACGTTGCCTGGGGGAAGTAGCAAAAAGAGTTAAGCTTTTGAAATCAATGTCAGCACCATCTAGCCGACTGGATATAGAACTACGTAATCAGGAAAGTATCAACGGTTTGTCATGATAATAAACGTTAGTAAATAGTTCGCCACTATTTCATTAGATGGAGCTTTTCAAAGTTAAAAAGTCAAAATTAGAAAGTCAAATTATCAAACAAAATATGTATTACACTTAGAATAATGTATTACATTTACTATTTATAAAGATTTTACAAACGGTACACACAAATTAACACATTTGGTTATCTTTTTTATCCCACAGATCCCCACTTAATGGGATTGAGTATTAGATTTTTTTTCATAAATCCACACTTTACAGCGTTTCCTTCACAGTAGAGAATTTTGAAAAAAAAATCACCGGCAAGGAATTATTAACCTCATTTCGTATCGTGTTTCGTATCGTGAAACATAAAAAAATGTGTTTCCATCATAGACCTACCAACAAAGTTTCCGTTAATAAAATGGATAGATTGCGTTGACGAAATTTTGCTGAGGCCTTTGCAAATATTATTTAAATGCTTGTGTATTCTGTCCAGAGGAAATGGTGTATTTTAGCACCAAAAAAGGCTGTTGGACGATTTTTAAGTTTTTCCACTCATAAGGATATGATGAAGATAAGATGTTCGTTAATTCTCAAGCATTACTAATGCCAGGCAGCATGGGTATGGAAAGCTGACTAAATGATGGGCTACATTACAAAGTTCCTCATCCCCGAAAAAATTCTTCAATATTTTCATGATTATCTGAACAATTAGCGTTCATGCGAGTGAATCTCCAAGCAAAAATTATTCTAATTTTTAGAGATCATAAAACTTCATCAATTGTTATGGTTAGACGTGTCGCTTACCACGAGTCGGTGTCGCTAGGATTTCGTAGGTAGGTACTATAGTTTTCTGTAACCTCAGGAATATATAGGTAAAACTATTTTAGACCTTTTAACATTTAGCACCTTAGAAACGTACTACCAAAACAGTTAGATTAATTTTCAAAGCATTATCCAAAGATAACTCTGTCTCGTCATGTCGTTCCAATACGAGAGCGTTTTCACATTAGACGACACGACGACGTGGTGGATTCAACGGAATTAAAACAGGTCAATATTTTTATTATTGCTGTATTTTAAGAATAAATTAATTTGTAGCTTGCAATAACATTTTATTTAAAGTAAAAAACTGATATGGTTTGTATATAAGATCATTGGTTGTATTAGAACAATGCCAAGTGTGTTCTTAACACAAAACTCTAGTACTTATACTAGGTGCTCGTGTACGTAAAATAAGCAGTACAAATAGTTACAAGGTAATTATTGTAGAATTTAAAGTCTGGCACGTTAGGTTTTGACCCTCGTGTTAAAGAATTTAAAAAAAAATTCGTCTACGGTCAAGAACAAGAACTTTGTTTGATGACGTCATCGACAATCGACACGTCGTAAATCGTCAACATTCCAGGGCCTAAAAACAATATTGCCAGCCTGTACCTGCTACTAGTATGCAAATTTGCTATAAAAGATAAATTCGCCTTGATGCCTGAGCAAATTAGACAAATCATTTGAATATTTATTAAAGGATTTGTGACAAATCATCAACAACTAACACTAGTGATATAATTTTACTTATCTTCGTTTATACGAAAGTAGTAACAATAACATTTACCGACCCATTCATTATGCTCTATGACCATTATGACTGAAAAATAGAGTCTATTATGAAAGTTTTTCATTTTACGAAGAATACATTACTTTATTGGACAAATTTTTCTCTGTGTAAAATCTCACGTTTGATTTTAACTCTAGTGTGAAGAAATTACCTATTTTAACTAATTTGTTCCTTCACGAACTTTCATGTTATAAATCAATAATACGACCACTTCAGGGTTTTCTCGGTACTCATTAAAATATGACCTTCTTATAGGTTTCTTTCCATAGATATTGAAAAAGTGAACAAGGATTAAATTCAAGAGGCCGATTCTTGTAAGACAAAGCAAACAGAAGAAAAAACATAGACAAAATACGGCAGATGTCGATCTCAAACAGTTTTTGATATTTTTATAATTTCATATTAGACATAGATTGACCATCACAGTTTCATATGTTATGACTGGTCAGAGGAAAACAAGTTGAGACATTTAAGACAGAATGTGTAAACTGACACAAACTAAATTGATACAAGGATGCGTTTCCTTACATTAAAGTTATATTCCGACTTCAAAAAAAGGAGGAGGTTCACAATTCGACTGTAGGTTTTTTGTATGTATATATGTTACGCGATAACTCCGGTATTTGTGAACCGATTTTCATGATTCGTTTTTTATTGGAAAGAGGGTACCTTAGATGTGGTCCTGTTTCATTTTGAAGAAAATCATCCACCTCTAAGGGTGACTGATCACGCATGAAATGAATGCATTTTTATGCATAGCGCCTAAATTTTCCTTAAGGAGCAATTATTTTAATGGTGGGTTTTGTTATTCTGCAATTCAAGGCGTTTTTCTCTCAATATACTTTGAGTAGTGAGAACCGATTTTTAGTATCTCCTGTGTCAAGTCCTATAGTGGCGAACTAGGGGATATGCCAACAAAACTTGGCAAATAGATGTAATTCCACGTACTTTTGAGGTCGGTTTTTTTAGTACTCTGTACTGAGATTATTTCAAAAAGTCTTGATTTAGATATTTATATCTAAATCAAGACTTTTGTGTTCTTTTTTTTAAGATAGAACATTTTTTAACTGACTTTTAAAAAAGGAGGAGGTTCTCAATTCCACTGTTTTTTTTATGAATGTTACACGATAACTCCGGCCATACTGTGAACCGATTTTGATGATTCTTTTTGGTTGAAAGAGGGTACCTCAGTATTGCTCCCATTTAAATTTGAAGGAAATATTCCACCTCTAATATGACAAACTAAGGGATGAACCTGGTTTCGTGCACTTTCCGGTAACCGATTTGAATAAAACTTGGCAAATAGATGTAATTCCACGAACTTTTGAAGTCGGTTTTTTTTAATGAGAAAGTTATAATTATAAATACAATTAATTGATAAAAACGAAACTTGCAGTAATCAAGATTTCAAAATCTTTCAAATTAGCTGCACCTCTATTGATACAGGGAAAAAGATTTTTTGTTTACTAAAGATTTTTTAAATATTTTCTGTAGACATTAGAGGTGTGATATTATATCGAAATGGAAAAAATATCGAATTGACGTCTCCAGATCCGTTATCGCAGAATGATGTACACTTAGCACCAATCTTCAATTTCTGGGTAGGTATTTGTCTCTTGAACTAGACTCCTCTTACTTCATCATCATCATACATTTAAAAGGTTCTTATTGGTATAATAGTCTCTATTCAGTTTTCTTAGTTAGTAAGTAAAGCAGTAAGTCATAGAGCACTCAACATGCTACAAAAGCAAAATCTAGTGTTGATTATTATACTCACTAAAAGGCAACTTGTTCTCTGTACCACAAAGCGTAAAAGGAAATTTCAAACTACAAAGCGTTTACACTTTTTTCAAAAATCAAATTTTTATAAATTAAGTAAACTACGTTTGACGCTGTGTCACTCGTAGGAGGAGTCAAAGGTTATTGCCAAAATTTTCCTTTGCAAATTTAATCTTACGACGATCACGCACTGTTTAATTTTGCAATATCAAAAGGTGACAGTCTGTATACTTCAATTTGGCCATGTGTACAGTCATGTGCAATAATTTTATGTACGGACAACGGCACATCGGACTACACATTTTTGATCGAAAATCGCCTCCAGTGCAACGGAACAAAATACGTCAATGTGTAGCGAGATGTGGCGTGTGTACATGTGGTATAACAATAATAGTACAATAATGAAATATGTTCTTACGACATTTGTTTTTGTTTAAATTTTGTAATTTTTACCTGTTCATTATTATTTGCCAACGTATATAGAATATTGTTGTAAATTGTTTTGTACAAACATGGTATCATGTCTATTACTCGCTGGCGTAAGCAGAAACTATAGACATAGTAGAATAAGATAATTATAGTAACCCCATAAAAAGTAACAGCTCGGCTTGTACGTGTACGCTACCGCCGCGCGCCTTACAAATGCACACATTGGTATAAATTCTTATGCGAACGCATTCGCATAAATTATTATGCGAATATATGCATCCGTACACGGCGCGCGGCAGTCGCGCCTTTAATTATAAAGGAGCGTTGGAACGTCCATTGTTATGCAACGCAAGTGCATGGTGAGATTATGCGAATGTACACGGCGCGCTGCTACATTTGAATGGAGTTACGGACGTTATGTAAAATGTTATATAGTAGTTATGGACGTCCATTTATTACGTCTCTGTTAAGCCTCTTTCGTATACTCTTTTAGACTTTTCGTACACGTTTATTCTTGTTACTTTTGCTTGCCTTTTTTAAAGACATCTCAATGTAAAATATTTTCCGATTTCAATTAATACTTAATAAGAAAATTGAACTGGAATTTCGATACTTATACACATATTAATGCACGTGACTGTATATAAAACATAATTCAATAGCTAAACAATTTTAGCAAGACTAGAACACCTACATAAAATAAAATGCAAATTAACACACAGTTCCATCGATTCCCATAAAAAATTATAATTATGACACAAACAGCTAATTATTGATTATTTATTTAATTACATCCCTTATTCACGCTCTATATGTTACAATATATAATATTTTACATCCATACATTCGCTATGTTTATCACATATTCAATCAATAATATTTTGACTCCACAAAGCCTGTATCTTCTCACAGTTGGAACAACATTGTGGATTAAAATACGAAGTATACAATAGGGCTAGCTTATAATAGTTAACTAGACAACGCGTAATAATTTATTGACTTGCAACGATGACTATGCTTTTTTGATACAATAAAATTTCTAATTTTCGAATATTTTTCAACAAATAGGTACAAGAGTAAACAATAAATTAGGACATTCGTAACATCCTTTTCAAAGTTGCCATCGCAATTTCACAGCATATATTTAGTGGCGTAATTTTGTTATTTTCCTCTACTTAATTTCGGTGGACATTTTTATTATTTAAATATTCTAGTATAAATATCTTGAAATATTAAATAATATTTTAAGTTACTACATTCGAATATTAAATGATACTTAATTAAATTTATATTTAAAGAATATTTGAATATGAAAAATTGCCACCGAAATTAGCTAGAGAAAACAATCTGAAAATTACCCAATGTTAGTATATGTTAGCATACACTTTAGTTTATACGATATTCTGCAAACTACGGTCGGTTTTATACAAAATTACATATTTTTTTATAGTTTTTATTGCTGTCTTTGTAAATATAACCTTAAACTTTAGCAACGTTTCATTTTTGACACATTACTTTTAACGGTGATTTAAGGGTTATTTATCGAGTTAAAATCACATATTCAAACGTTGTCTTCGTTTTCAATAATGTGATAAAGAGCGGAAACAATGCAGCTGCGTAAAATCGAAATTACATGAAGCGTGTTGTGTATATCACAATTTCATATTATATACACCACACGTCCATTTATATATCACTTGAAACACATTTACAATGTTTTTAAGAGATCGCTTAGCGGACTGCCCCGCCCATCGAGGCCATCATACACCTTTACTAATTCCACTATAGTTTTGATTTTTCAGTGCTTATATAACAAAACATTCTGATAACCTATCTTGGGTTCCAGTTTCAGAGGAATCTAGTCAGATAGGTCTATTTAGTGCTTATCACAACACTTGTTCAACAGTCTAAACGTCTAACTGCGTAAGGAAATTATGTATATGGTGCGGAGTGTTATGATGTGAAGTATGGTGTGGTGTGTGGCGGGGTGTGTGTCTAGGCGTGTGATGTGGTGTGGAGTGCGGGGAGAGAGCGTCGATGTCCGCGTGATCACGCCGTGAGGGTGCTGGGGCCCGGTGCGGGGGACGAGGCAGCCGTAGCGGCACCGGCAGCAGTTCTGGCATCACACTATGATGCGTTACCAGTGCACTTAGCGAAGTGAACTCTTTCGTGAACCCCTGCAAACATAGTGTCATTTGTGAATGCGGCTAATATTAAAATGAGAAAGTTCAGATTAATGAACGAATAATCACATATTTTCCTCCGTTGCGACATAAGTAATGTATCTTTTAAGTTTAATTTAAGGTAATTGAACAAATGAACAATGAAGTCAGATTGTATGAATTTATTTCACAATTATCAACGTTTTCAAATTCTAACTTAGAGCTATAGTAAAAAAATTGGCATTAGCAAGTGATGCTTAATGTCATTGAGTCAGAATATGAAAGCAAGCACATACCTTGATTTTGTACCCCTTGGGTGTACGTAGTATCAGATAATGTGCTATGCCAGCAGGTTGAAAATCCCTTGGTACACGTACTGATAGTGCGTAACATGCTGGCTGCGTTGTGCTTCCGCGAACGAGGAAGGCACCCACCGGTTGTCCTGATAGTACTTCTAATGCTATCTGCAAAATTGTTATCGCATATGACTCAGCATTTGTAAAATCAGCGTAAGTCTGATTCCCGATATAAAAAAAGCAACTCATAATACTAAATGATTATCGTTAACTAGAGGTTAATTACCACTGTTTGATTTCTTTTTATCTTTCCAATATTTCGGAACGATATTGCAATATTTACCGTGACGACGGCGTAAAATTGCTCAGTGCAATCTGGAGCTTAGTGCTTCCAAAAATAATTAATAATAACAAAAATGGTTCGAGTTCAATTTTGCGTGTGGATGTGATTTGTCGAAAAAAGTTAATGATAATGGTAACGTCATTTGACACAAGATGAATGTACTCATCGACAGCGAAAATGGGTAGACAGATATGTCTGTTCTTCCAGAGGCCATTTCTCTTTGTGAGCACATTCACAATTCCTTTTTTACCTACTGGGTTTCCACGTAGCATGATGGAAATAAGAAGTGACAGGCGCATTGTACTTTAATTTTTATTGGTATTATCTAATTTTTTTTGTGTTTGTGTCCTAATATATTTGTAATTTGTATATAATATGGAATATGGGTAATAAATAATTATTATTACAATATATTATCTTAGAGCATATAGGACGGGAGGCGCTATTAGCGTTATTTCTCGAACAAAACTTTCTGCCACTTTTTGTGGGGCGGGGGGTGTAGTACCTACTACAAGCAAACAGGTGCATTCAAATGCAATATTGAGTTGTATCACTATGGTCTCACACAAACAAAAACCGACAATTATTTTTACAAATACACAAATAAAACACACATTCATTTCATATCCGTACACAGAATAGGCCTATAAAAATAAATCGATTCTCATGAATATACTAGAGATGGAAAGTTATCGACGTGACGGTATCGATATGTATTACGTACTGGTTAATCACGTATATGAAAAACATAATTCCACCCTTGGCTGGACTGGATGTAGAGGATTTCTTTTTGCAATTTTGTGAGTAGTGTAACATTGGTATTGTTTTGCTCGTATTTGCCAGAGGAGATTGCCCATTGACTTATCAATAAATCTATGACAATAAATACAATCCAAAATCTAATCCATAAACCGGGAAAAAATGTCCGGAGTTTTTCCGGCTTTCGCGGTCAGCGTTGACCAGCGGTGGCCAAAGACAAGCATGGCCGGAGTTAACCTATACAAACGTAAAAATATAAAAACGTAGAAATATAAAAAAAAAACTAAAATATTTAATTTAAATTGTAAAGTCATTGCAGTATTGCTTAATTTTGTTTGCCTCAATTTAAAGGCCCAAAAATTATCCATATTCAGCTTCTACTGGAAATAACAAAATGCACCATATTTAGCTTCTTTTTTTACAAAAGTGTTTCATTTTTATTTAATTCAGATAATATACAGGTAAAGTAAAAAAAAGAATAAAACTTAACTACTACAAAGTAAAACTAGGGTTTTTAAATTATATGAATAGTGAAAACTACTTGAACACAAGAGTGATGGAGTAGTCTTGATAGCAATATTAATTAATTTTATAGTATTATGTTGAATTTTATACGAATTCACTTCAAGTAATAAGAGTTGTGTAGATATATAGGTACATACAAATATTATATATTATAAATGTGAAAACAGCTGTGTCTCTCTGTTGGTAGTTCTGACGAATTTCTAGATTCCAGCTAGAAGTAAACTCAAAGTTTCATAATCTCGAAAACCGATTTATAACAAAACCGTTATGCTTTCAGGGGATCGTGGTTGCTTATTACAAAGAAAAGATTAAGTTAGTTTGTTTTGTAATATTCCTAAAATAACCTAAAAAAGCACATTTGGGACTACAAAAATTCGAGCGAACATTACTTCGGGCAAATGTATTTTCAGACTTCTGATTGATAACTTCAAATAGTAAAACGAATACAAGAATATTTTGTTATTTATTTATTACTAACATGTAATAAAAAGTTATTTAAAAAATAAGATTAACATTAAATCAACTCTATAGTTTCTGTGTTCCAAATCCAAATATTTCAATCGCTTGTGGTTCGAAAATTGAAATTGACGTAACGAGTCTCTTTCTGTCTTTTGCGCATGTCTTGTGTAGGATAAGGACAGTTAGCTATTTGGTTATTTTTATTACTTTTGTAATTTATGTGTATTGTATGTATGTACTCGTATATGTACTTTTTATTTTTTTCTTACAGTATGGCACGATTCATGATGATTTATATAGTACAATTACAATTTATTTTCATTATTTATAATTTTTTACATTATTATTCAATACGACGGAGAAATCAATTTGAATAAACTTCGTTACATAATCTGTCGATAAAAATAGTAGCTGAAAGAGCGCGTCGCTTCTCTATAACGAAAAAATATCCATAAAGTATTGCATTTTTTGTCTACGGTTGCCTGTTAGTAAATAGGGAACTTGATAGGCATGCCTATGTCAAATGTTCGAATGTTTTCAAATATTTTTTATGTAATCGATGAATTGAATCAATGCGAAAAAAATGTCTTAGAATAGAAAATTACAAATTAATGTAAAAAAATAGTGTTATGTATGGAATGTAATTCCACTCTTGGCTAGACTGAATGCAACAGAGACCTTTTTGCAAGTCTGTATAGTGCAAGACGACATGTTTCGTAAAGTACTTGACGCGGTGAGTCCGATAAAGGAAATGAAAAAACATCGATTCGGAAGTAGTGTTTATTGTGCGATGGTTGTTTTTTGTTGATGACGCCTCCAGTCCGATATGCTCTAAGTATATTATCATTAAAAAAATAAACCATACCGAGGTAAGAAACCTGTAATTAGTCTTAATCATTTAGTGAATAAACACAAAAGCTCCAAAGTCACTAAAAATCTACACCAAATATAAATGACTTAGATTTTTCCGAAATTCAAAACTCACCTCCCTAGGAATACCCTGTTGGAACCAGGGTGCTTGTTTAAGTTCTGGCTCTACACGGGGATTATTGTTGGGTGAACAGTGCGATGCACCACTCGATGACGCGCCTGATGATGACGATGTGGTCCTACTACATGCAGCGCCCGGACTACTGTAAACAGAAATAATCAAAATTAATTCCAAGGAAGGAAAAACACAAAATAATGCAATGGTGTTTCAAAAGGCTAGCCGATTATTTTACTTTTTTATTTCATTAATTTATTTAAATTTGCTACTAAAACAGGTGCGTAGAATGGTTTTGTAGTAAGTTTCGTAAATTCTGATCGAAAAAAAATTTTAGACTGTTACAACGTTTAATCTTTCAACCATTTCTGCTTGTTACAAAATGTAAAAAAAGACATTTTATTTTACAACGATTCTTTCAATAAAGGTTGAGTAAGGCTACTAAGTCGATGTTAATTTCATTGCTACTTTATATTTATTTAGTTTTAAACATTATTATTATAATTAATTATAATTCATTATATTCCCACTGTTTTGTTTGGCTAAATGTGCCAGTGTGTGTTTCGGTAAAAAAGTTTCTAATCAAGCAAATTTCAGAAATAATGGAAATTCGCTTTATTTTCTTCCACCCAAAAAAATTGTTTAAAATAATGCTTAAGGTACAAAAAAGTTTGTACTGCTGTTAACCCTTTTCTATCATTGCATAAATAACTCGAACTTACCAATTGTTTATATTATTACATTTTCGAAAATCAACGTCTAAGGTGTCAGTACTGACTAGACTGGATGCATTGTTATCCATCACATTGTCAGAAGCCATAAGACGGCGTGGCGGTGCTGGAGGCTCTCTGTTGCTTTCTCGCGTCCGAGCTTCTGCCTCTGACGCCTCGTTTATGTAACCACCGTTTAAACACAGAGGAATATTGGTGGGCCTGAAAAAGCGCAGCGATTGGGTAAGTGAAACTCAAATAACACAAATTAAAATATGAGTTGATTTGGTCAAAATATACGATTTATTGAAACAGAACCTGCAATGAAACGCAGCTAGTATTTGTAATATGACAATATTACAAAATTGTACACACTACGCTACTTTACCACTTTAATAGCAGTAGAACTCCTTATGAAAGAGTTCCTCCAAGGAGGTTTTTTTTATAATATCAAATGACGGGACTAGCAAGTCGTGCGCCTGATGGTACCTACATGCCTGTCCATAAAAGGTGCAGTGCCAAGCAAAACTTGAAATCGCAAACATCTGTGGGGCACTGCCACTACGTCCGTCACCCTTAGACATAATTTGACAAGTCCCATGTGTCCGGCAGAAATAGATAATAAGACGAAATATATACTGTCACCTTACCTACTTTTGCCGTCAAGCAGTAATGTGAGCATTACTGCGTTCAGGCTTGAAATTACAAGCACATGGGACTTGTCGACCTTTGTCTCAAGGTGACGGGCGCATAGGAGTGCCCCTGAGTGGCACTGCAACTGCTATGGACCAGGCGCACTTGGTATCATAAAAAAGACAAAGGCAGAGAAAGTTGGTACTTACGTAGTAGGAGTATCGGCAACAAGTGGTGTAGAATCGTCATCGGAAGGCTGCAGCAATGCGCCGCTCAGTCCTAACGCGAGTCGCTTGATAAGCGGTGCGCGTTCTTCCCCATTCCTGCCACATCCGCCGCCACCACTGGCCAGACGCTCGCCGAGCCGCCGGTAGCTCGTCAATTCGGTAGGAGAACTGGATTCCTCCGAACTGCTGGGACTTGGCTCGTTTACCAGACGCGACACACCCATTATATTGCATTTCGCTGGGGATCTGCAACACCCAAAGATAACATAAACAATTGCCATTTTTAGTCACTAAATAAGGTACCTAATAAAAAAATTTACTAGTCTCAAACGCTCCATAGGGCCAATATAAAAATGCATTCTACTAAATGCACGAACTATAAGCAAAAGTGTAAACCCATGAAACCGCAGACGCAATTTGACACTTTTACTCACACAGCGCTACGTCATGTCGCAGGGCCTAGCTATTGACCGTCAAGCCACATAATCATTTATAACTAGTATGAAAGTGAGAATAGTGTGTCCAATATCTGAGATCTAGTGCAGAAAAAAACGTGGGAAATATGTTAAAGTAGGACGCATTTGCACTTTGTTTTGGGTGCCTCTGAAGTCACCAACATTTAATATGCGTTACAATAAGATTTTATCTTTCAATACATTTGGCAGTATTTTATAATTTCATGAATAGTTACTTAGAACATGAAATAATTTTTTCGGGTCTAAATCGCGTATGTGTTTTTCTAACATGCCAAAGTTTCGGGCCCTTAGAGGTCCCAGGGTCAAGCCTCACTGTCTGTATAGTCTGTAGTCTGTATTTATGGTAATAAATAAATTGTTATTATTATTTTAGACTCTCTCGCCTCTCTCAAGGCCTAAAAGATTAATTATTATTATTAGACATTTATACGCGATTTAGATCCTAACATCTAAGAAGTCGATGAGTAGTTATTTCTGATGTCCGACGAGCCTTAACGTAACGCACATTTCAATTAATAGAAACCTTTAGAATGCACTTGATATATCATTTTACGCGTTTTCATTTTTCGAGATCAAGCTATTTCTATAATATTTATAAAAAATCTTATAGGTACTTACAGACATTGAGGATAATGTCGCGCAAGGCCAGGCAGAGAGTCGGGCGCACGCACACCCATACCGCACTCGCTATTACTTAGCTCCTTACTCTGCAATTCATCAACAACACAATTATAAGCTTTATTATTTTGTCTATACGGGTCAGAATAATAGACCTACTTAGTACCTATCCAGACAAGTCACGTGTTCTAATCTGATATCCGAGCTAAAAGACAATGGGATTAAAAGTAGAGTGCAGATAATATAGCAAGTACTTGCACCACAATGGTAGCGATAGGTTGAGGGAAGAAAACATTTTTCGCATATTAATTACTGTTTCAATATGTACCTAATCAACACTAAACATTACAATTTTAATGCGTATCCTTCAACTAAGTTATGCATGAAGTTCAATGTTCTTTCAACAACTGGTTCAGCGCCTTCGAGCTGTTGTCGTTTAGCTTTACGATCAAAGTACTTTTTACCTATAGCCTATTGTTAAGGCAGTTACTCATGTTTTTTTATTTATAACACGACTTGCTTATAAACTTAATGAGAAAGGTATACGTAAAAATGTGAGCTGCTTGAATTGCTTTTAAAGTAAGTTTACCTAATTTTTTTTATAAACCTTTTATGTCCTCACTGCTGGGCAAACATCTCCCCCAAAATCCTCCATTGCTCCCTGTCTTTGGCGATCTCCCACCACTCTCAAACCCATCAAGATCGTCCCGCCAACTCCTTCTCGGCCGTCCACGCCGTCTCATTCCATCCTCGGGCACCCAAGGAGTGACGATGTTCGCCCACTTCACATGTTGCATCCGACTTATGTGGCCCGCCCAATCCCATTTGAGCATGACTGTTTTGCTCCCCACATCAGCAGTTTCAGTCATCGAACGCAGTATTGTATTGCGTACTCGATCAATACGTTTAAAGCCCAGAATGAATTATACCTAAATAAATTCTAAATTTAACTTACAAATACATAAGCCGTTGCTTCTCATTTAACCTCATCAACTTTTTTGTTTGGAAATAATTACAGAGCTCTTAAACACGAGTAATTTTGCCACTGGAATGAAGACATACGCAAACCATCATAAAGCTCATACCAATGTGTACCGTATCAATCGTATTAAATTTAGGCTGCGCAGTAAATCAAACACATTCCGTTAGGCACGCGGTGCGCCCGCATCGGTGGAATGCGAACCAGGAGACCTATTCAAAACTCTTCGATATTTTAACCGAATCGTTCGGTTGGGTGTCGTTCTCGATTTTCGAAGGGCGCTTTCCGAACTATTCAGAACATTCGGGTTAAATGTTCGATTCGGATTCGGATACGATATCGTTATCTATCAACGTTTACGGAGTTAGGCGGTGATATAGATTATAAGAAAAATGAAAATGCTTTTATATACATTTTTAAGACTTTAAAGGCCTTAAATATTTAGGCCTTAATTAATAAAATTGACCAAAATCCAAACTTAAATTAACATAATAAGAGATTTCCATATTACATTTTTGCTTTGTAAGTCAATGTTTGTAAACAATAAGAATAATGTTCGGTAACTTTCACTCGATAACTGTGTTCCGAATAACTTTTGTAGCCTTTGCCGGTCGATTTTTTTTAATTAATAATTTTGGCTTGGATACAAGTCCTTTGAGCCATGTCTTCGTTTAATTATGTTTCTGTAAATAAGGGAACTTCGACGTCGTCGTGACGTCATTTCGGTTCGGTTTGGAATACGACAGCTTGACGTTCTGTTATACGGGGCGTAGTAAAAGTCTTTTTAAAAAAACACAATTTTCCCGATATTGTGTAATTCGGGAAGAAGTGGTAATTAAGTGCAATATAATAAAGACATAGATAAAAAATGGAAATTGAATTGGCACGTGTTTACACGACAGGAGTTTGGAAAGAACTGAACTGCTTTATATAGAGTTTTAGTGATGTTCAAAGAAAAATGCTGACTAGGAGGAATGGCAGGGCTGATTCTAGTAGTTTAGGTAGTAGGGCTGGGATATAACAGCTCGATTCGGATGTTGTAAATAAAAATGAAAAGAAATCGTAGGATATCAAATCGAATCGGTCGACAGCTCAGTTATCGTGAGGTTCTGAATCGACCCCAGACAGCCTTATCTGAAGCATTACCATAATAGAACCACAATGAGACCACAATCAATGCCTCGCCTCTGTATTCTTGCCTCCTTATAGCGACAGCACTTATAAATAACCGAACGGAAGGACTTTCCAGCAATTTAAAGAATTTTGAAAGTGTACTGACTCAGGTCATCGTTTGTTTCTTTTATTTACACGACTATGTAAACAATCACACGTAAGCCGCCGCTGAAGATAAGGGGAACGGTTGCGGCCAGCGGGGAACATACGATTTGTTTAAATAAGAATTAGTTCCCGTTTTTGACGTCACTGGAGTAATTTTGAAGAGACAACACGAACGAGCCCCTATAAAACAGGCAGCGGAAGCGTCGTGTGCGTGACGGCATCCATTCTAAACAAATAGCTCTAAATAAAGAAAGAATTTGTCTAGTTCGGCTTCGCGTCGACTTAACACTTCCTTCTAGTCAGCTTGACAAATATATTATAAGAACGTCCTGTACTCATTCAAGTTTTGAAGAAACAGGCGATTATAACATTATTGTGAAACTCTTTAATTTTATAACAAGTTACTTCCAAAACAATATCAGAACTGTGAAGGGTAAAATTTTAATTAATCACCTGCTTCACTACCGCTACAATGTTGTAATAATTAAATAGTGTTTTCAAGAAAATCATCCGATAGTTTAAATATAGAATAATAATATAACTGCGGATCCATAACTGAATATTAACCTTACATACATATGCGTGTGGCGCACTATAAGTTTCCGGAATGAATAAGAAAAAAATACAATAAATGGTCAGAAATGAATTTATTGTTTTTCAAAATATTCTCTTTACTTATGTAAATGTTAATGCGCTTTTTCATACGAATGAACCAATATTCAAAACATTTATGTCACTCCTCCGTGACAATCTCTGAAACATATTTTTCATACTCTTCGACAGCCTCTTCAGGTGATGAAAATCGATGACCGCGTAACTGGTTCTTAATTTTTGGAAATAAATAAAAGTCACAAACTGCCAGGTCGGGACTGTACGCGGGATGGCTCATAAGGTAAACGTCGTTCACCTTCAAAAATTCATTTGTCTGTCTGGCTGTGTGAGAACTGGCATTATCGTGGTGCAAGATCACTTAAAGCAATGATACGGCGTTTACGGTTATTTTTACGGAGTTTGTCAATAACTTCCGGCAAACAAATGATCGTGTACCAATCACTATTCACGACACAACGATTCTCCAAAGCAACAGTAGCCACGTGTCCAGTTTTATTAAAAAAATAAGCAATCATCCGCTTAGAGGCACTTTTCACGCGCGCAGCTTTGGTTGGTTTCGGCACATCTCGAAAGGCCCATACGCTCGATTGCTGCTTTGTTTTGGAATCGTAACTATAAATCCATGTTTCGTCACCTGTTACTATATCCCACACCAAATTGGACGCCCCTTCGTTGAATCTGGTAAGCATGGCATTGCATTAAGTGACGCGATCCGTTTTTTGAGCCTCAGTCAAATTGTGTGGGATCCACCGAGAGCACAACTTTTTCACACCCAAATGTTTGTGTAGTATTGATTGTATTGACTCATGCCTATGCCTAAAGATGCCCGAATCTCATGGCATGTCACACGCCTGTCTGTTTTGATCATACGGCGCACAGCATCGATGTTTTTGTTGTTCACAGCAGTGGACGGGCGACCATCACGAAATTCATCACTGAGATTCACACGACCGCGTTTGAATTCTGCAAACCAGCTATAAATAGTCATCTTGCATGGTGCTTCATCGCTAAAAGCAGCTTGTAGCCGAGCGAAGCTCCGCTGAGCTGTTATATTACACTTGAAGTCGCAGAAAATTACACTACGACATTTTTCACGAGTTTAATCCATAGTGATGTAGGCAACCAATTTCTAAAATGACGCTACAATGTAAAAACAAGTGACAGTTTTTTTTTATAATATCAAGTGACGGGACGAACAAGACGTGCGCCTGATGGTAAGCTACACGCCGTTCCATAACAGTTGCAGTGCCACTCAGAGCTTTAAACCGCAAAGATTTGAGGGGCACTGCCACTGCGCCCGTTACCCTGAAACGTAAGTTGTACAAGTCCCATGTGCCAGTAATTTCATCAGCACTTTTACCCTTCAAAACCGGAATACAGTAATGCTCACATTACTGCTTGGCGGCAGCAAATAGGTACGGTGGCAGTACTTCGCTGGACGAACTCTTTCACAAGGAGCTCTACTGCTACTATATACTACGACAATCAGATGAAACAAACTGTATTCTACAGGCAAGGAGTTCCATTTTCAAATATTTTTATTTTATTGGATGTACAAAACAGTTTACATTCAGTGAAACATGTTGAGATACAATTTATAGTCTTAATCTAGAATGTAGACCTAATACTTGATATGTAGACCTAATACGTGTCACATGTTTATTTTTTCAAATGTTGTAATTACTTTTTAAATAATTTTTATGTAAGTGGCCAGTTCCGGAAACTTATAGTGCGCCCTATGTATAACGTTATGAAAAACTTTCGGTTGCAATATCAACTGATAAGCAACTTTCTAATCTCAATTAATATATTAGAATAAAACAGTTTTTACGTTAATTGTAAATTTGTTGGCATAAATTTAAACGCTTTTACCAACAGTGCGTAGAATACAAATAGTTTTTTAACGCGTACAATCATAACCCCGCATTAGGGAACCCTGTATCGCGGGTGCTGTTTGGTAGACACACACATGTCTATGTAACCACAAATTACACCCAAACTCACGAGATAAATAAATGTAGGCCATACAAGTATTTGTTCCAGGCCGGGATTCGAACCCGGGACCTCTACGTGGCGGACCAGCTTGGTAACAGTTATGCCACGGAGGCGATGAGGTAGTATAATTGAAGGATACTAGATATAAATGAAAATTGTGCCTATGTGAAAATAGATCTAGTAACAAACTTTAGTCAAAAATGTGATTATCGTTAATTCAATAGA